AAATCTTTATTGGGTAAATATTAATAAAATTAACTAAATATTGAAAAAATTAATCGAAAAAATAAAATGAAAAAAATAGGTACAATTTGATGGTACTATGTGAGTGCGATTTTTTTTTTATTTTTTTTTTTTTTTAAGGTGGCAAAAGGAAGCAAAACCTACCACAGTCGACATAACAAAAGAATCAGTAACACCATATTCCAATAAAAACTTCTTAAACAAGGAGAAAGCCCTGTCATAAGCCCTGCACATATTAGTGGACAGAGACAGTCGGGCAAGATGACTGCCGTGGGACAAGGCGTTCAGTCCATGATCAGCTCCTGAAACGGAGGGGCAGCAGTGGCAGTGGGGGAGGCCGTAGGCAGAGCTGCACGGAAGGCCTGAAATTGAAACAGACAGCCTGTCAGCAGCGACATTTGTGACACCTGGCACATGAATAAAAGTCAGAAAGAAATGACTAGCCGCCAGCCATGTCAGTTTCCTGAGGAACCTCATAACAAGAGAGGAAGAACGCCCTTTATTAATGATGTGGCACGTGGCCTGGTTGTCCGAGAAACAGTGAATCTAACAACCCGACCACGCCCGACCCCAAACCACACTGGCCACTACAATGGTGTAAATTTCAAATAGGGCGGAGGTAGTGGAAAAACCCTCGATGTCCAGGACCTCCACTGGCCAAGCACCCTAAAGCCACTCAGAACCGTAAATGGCAGAGAAGCCGGTAGTGGCAGCTGCATCAGTCCATAGTGCAGGTGATGCTTCCAAAATTTCGGGAAGAAACACTCTTCCCATTCCAGGAGAGCAAGAACCTCCACCACATGAGCAGATCCGCCGTGGCATGGTCATAGAGCGTGATCCGGCTATCATCGAGAGGGAAACAGGGAAAGCAGACGAGATAAATGCCCGACCCTCTGGGATAATCCTCATAGCAAAATTTATTGACCCTAGAAAAGATTGTAACTCCCGGCAGCAAGAACTAGTGCGAATATAGTAATCAATGCACGAGAGCATGTGAAATATTTTGTCCTTGGGTAGACTGGCCTGCATTGCAACCGTATCAAGCTGAATACCCAGGAAAGTAATGAAGGTGTCCAGACCTTCTGTGTTGTCTACGGACAATGGAACACACAACAATTCAAAAAGGGCAGAGGCCTCCTTCAGACTACATGGGGGGGAACTTGTTCTCCTCAATCATAAGGAAGTCGTCCAGGTAGTGGAGGACTGCGGGACACCTATTAACATTAAGGAGCAACCAGCATAGGGTCCCAGCAAAGATGTCAAACAGTTTCGGGCTACTTTTGGAACCGAAAGTAAGCCGAGAGAAAAAGTAATACCGGCCCTTCCATTTAACACTGTACATGTGCCAGAGCGTAGGGTGTATCGGCAAGAGCTTTAAAAGCATTGACAATGTCAGTTTTACTAAGCCAAGCACCCACCCCGGCTTTAAGGATGGCTGAAATGGCATTATCAATCGTGGCATATTGTAGCAAATTCCTCAGACGGAATTAGGAAATTTAAACTAGGAATTGCCGAATGGGGGGTGGAGAGCGACTATCAACCTCTGCGGTCACAATACCAATAGGGTTAGTCCTCCATGTAGTAAATGGCATAGCCTGGAAAGGACATAAAAGAGAACCCCCAGAGACCTCCTGTTGTATGAGAGTCAACCGCCTCTGGGTGAGCCAGAGCCAATTGCAGGTTTTTACACTCAAAGATACTGGACAGCATATGTATGATGCCTGTATGGAAACCCTCAGAAAAACCAGAGACCAAGAAATCAACAAAGTGCCTGGATGGGTGAGAGGACAACATGGCTGACAAGGCACACATTAACAGTGGTCAAGCAGGGTTTGGGAAACCATTTATTGGGGCACATGGTGAGCGCATGAGCCCGGAAGCACTTTGAACAAATATGCAGAAGCCTACAGGTGCTAAAACTGCAGGTACCAGCATTAAAGTTATTACAAACCTGGGACGTCCCCAGGAAGTGTATGGGGCGACCCAGTTTGTTCTTGATGACCTTGTCAGGTTGCGGGAAAGGGGAGGGAACAACAAGGCCGGAGGAAGCCTCGGCCGTATTAGAACAGAGGTTCGTGGAGTGAGATGTGGAGGAGCAGACTGCATAAGCTGGTGTCCTCAGACCCGCGAAGTGTCTGCAGAACAATTCCTTCCCGAGAGGCAGTCTCCAGTCTGTCCAACCTCTGGGTGACTTGCCCCATGGATGCCACGAGAGAGGACAACATGGAGTGCACATCAGAGGGGTCAGCGCCACTAGGACCTTCTCCAGCGCCTTCTCCAGTGACTGCATGGGCCGAGGAGGAATGCAGCAGCCGGAACAGTTCGGTCTTCCTAGCTGATGTGGGGAACGGGATCTGACGCCTCCGAAGTTCTGCTGCGAGGCGAGGAACAGACCATGATCTGAGGGAGGCAGACGTAGCTGAATTTCCCCTGCGAGAACCTAGCCGTAGTGCCGGGCAGGAACACCTCTTCACCACCTTCTGAAACTTGATCCATTCTAAAAAGAAAGTGATAAAAATTAGAGCAAGAAAAGGACCAGTGAAAATGCAGGACCAGTGTGAGCTGGCTAGCTAGTGCTGCAAGGCGGCGGAACAATTAAACTAAGTTGGTGACAGGTGAGGCCCTGCTAGATGCCAAGCGGCGTGAGGCTCTATCTATGCGTTGGCGCGAGGGGGTATCGTGGCCACCGAAACGTTGTGGTGGGGTGTCGGCCTCTCAGTGACCAGTAAAGCATAACATAGAATGGGAGTGACAGGTGAGGTCCTCGCTATGCCACGTGCCAGGCGACTAACTATGATTTGGCCCGAGGGGCGAAGTACCTGAGTATGAGGATGGGTGATGGCTTCACGGGACCACTAACCTAAGGTGAAGAAGCCGGGGGGGATTACCCCTATAGGGCGCCTAAAGACCCTGACAGCCAGCCACATCTAGACTAGGTGGGATAGCGAAATGCAAGACAGGACGTACCTGAGAAAACGTGTAACAAACAACGTAAGGGGAGGTGCGAGGCAGCAACGTGAGGCAGAAAACGTAGGGCCGGACTGAACCTGGAGTGCAGAGTAAGCACGTCAGACCAGGTGGTCAGGCCGTACAGAGGGGGCCTGTAAATAGGTAAGAGTGTATATTGGTGTGTGGGTCAGAGCGAGGACCCAGAGACAGATAGGGGAAAAATTAAATAAACAAACAAAAACACAGAAAAATGTACCTTCCAGGAGGTAGAGTAGTGCAAAAACGCAGCCCAGTGAGTGCACAAAAAAAACCTGTATAAGAACAGATTAGACAAATGCAATGGGGTTAACAAGGAAAAACTGAACCTACAGGGAGTGCAGAATTATTAGGCAAATGAGTATTTTGACCACATCATCCTCTTTATGCATGTTGTCTTACTCCAAGCTGTATAGGCTCGAAAGCCTACTACAAATTAAGCATATTAGGTGATGTGCATCTCTGTAATGAGAAGGGGTGTGGTCTAATGACATCAACACCCTATATCAGGTGTGTATAATTATTAGGCAACTTCCTTTCCTTTGGCAAAATGGGTCAAAAGAAGGACTTGACAGGCTCAGAAAAGTCAAAAATAGTGAGATATCTTGCAGAGGGATGCAGCACTCTTAAAATTGCAAAGCTTCTGAAGCGTGATCATCGAACAATCAAGCGTTTCATTCAAAATAGTCAACAGGGTCGCAAGAAGCGTGTGGAAAAACCAAGGCGCAAAATAACCGCCCATGAACTGAGAAAAGTCAAGCGTGCAGCTGCCACGATGCCACTTGCCACCAGTTTGGCCATATTTCAGAGCTGCAACATCACTGGAGTGCCCAAAGCACAAGGTGTGCAATACTCAGAGACATGGCCAAGGTAAGAAAGGCTGAAAGACGACCACCACTGAACAAGACACACAAGCTGAAACGTCAAGACTGGGCCAAGAAATATCTCAAGACTGATTTTTCTAAGGTTTTATGGACTGATGAAATGAGAGTGAGTCTTGATGGGCCAGATGGATGGGCCCGTGGCTGATTGGTAAAGGGCAGAGAGCTCCAGTCCGACTCAGACGCCAGCAAGGTGGAGGTGGAGTACTGGTTTGGGCTGGTATCAAAGATGAGCTTGTGGGGCCTTTTCGGGTTGAGGATGGAGTCAAGCTCAACTCCCAGTCCTACTGCCAGTTCCTGAAGACACCTTCTTCAAGCAGTGGTACAGGAAGAAGTCTGCATCCTTCAAGAAAAACATGATTTTCATGCAGGACAATGCTCCATCACACGCGCCCAAGTACTCCACAGCGTGGCTGGCAAGAAAGGGTATAAAAGAAGGAAATCTAATGACATGGCCTCCTTGTTCACCTGATCTGAACCCCATTGAGAACCTGTGGTCCATCAAATGTGAGATTTACAAGGAGGGAAAACAGTACACCTCTCTGAACAGTGTCTGGGAGGTTGTGGTTGCTGCTGCACGCAATGTTGATGGTGAACAGATCAAAACACTGACAGAATCCATGGATGGCAGGCTTTTGAGTGTCCTTGCAAAGAAAGGTGGCTATATTGGTCACTGATTTGTTTTTGTTTTGTTTTTGAATGTCAGAAATGTATATTTGTGAATGTTGAGATGTTATATTGGTTTCACTGGTAACAATAAATAATTGAAATGGGTATATATTTGTTTTTGTTAAGTTGCCTGATAATTATGCACAGTAATAGTCACCTGCACACACAGATATCCCCTAACATAGCTATAACTAAAAACAAACTAAAAACTACTTCCAAAAATATTCAGCTTTGATATTAATGAGTTTTTTGGGTTCATTGAGAACATGGTTGTTGTTCAATAATAAAATTAATCCTCAAAAATACAACTTGCCTAATAATTCTGCACTCCCTGTAGACCAGAAGACCCCAATGTCTGAAAAACATAATGTGAATATCATGTACACATTTATTTATGTTCTGGTACGATTTAATTTAATTTGATGTCATATATAGAATTAGTAAAGGATGCAACAAGAAAAACCACCAGCAGGGGTTGGATAGAAAAACATACAAACCCAACCACGAGAAGAGGAGACAGCACAGCGACTGAAACAAAAAACCCGAAAGCACAGCAAAAGAGAAACAGAAGCGTTCGCGGGAAAAAGGAGCCCGAAACCCACAGCAAGGGAAGGTAAGTAGAAAAACTCCTGAACGGAGAAACCACCCAAAACACGAGAAACCACGCTGCAAGGATGCCGATGGAGTGCGACCATGGCGCTACAGCAGGGTAAGTAACTTACGGCACCGTGGAGCCGAGAAGACGGACGGCTTAGAGCCACAGGAGAGCCGGAGCTGGGACGACACAGAAGAGACACTGCAGAGGACGCTGGAACAGGCTCCACGAGGAGCAGGGACCATAGTGAAGAAGAAAGGTGACCAGAACCAGCGTCAAGTAATGGTAAGGAACAAACGGGACAGGTGGAGGTGAGTAGTGGACTTAAATAGGGGACCATGCCCCTCCCACAACTGCACGCCAAGCCTTCACATTTACCAGATTTAGCACTTGACCTTGTTTTTTTTGAGGGGTAGTACAATCTGATGTGATAACTGTATGCTGTGTATTGCCCTCTGGCTTGTTCAGTGTTTATTGGGCTTTCTGAATTTAATGTGAAGAAATTAAATATCTGAAGTTACGTTTTAGAACACATTGGTATTACACACCATGGTTAGGTAATTGAAGAGGTCTCTGGTTGCAGTTTATAACGGTTTCAACAAACGAGTTGCTTAATTCTGGCATGCTAAGACATCATTAAGCAACAGGCTGAAAGACTTAACAATGTTACACAGCTTTTTTTCATCATTAATACTTCATAGTGATGATAAAACTGAATAACGCACATGTGATTTGTAGCTTAAACAGAATTTCAGCAGCATGTTACGCTAAATTAGTGGGTAAAAAATAACATGCCCTGTATGCAAACATAATGCAGAAAATATAGAAATCTCGTATATAAATTTTTAAAGTTGGTCGTAGTGTTAATGTAAAAACAAGTGGCTAAAAATAATGTATACATTGTAGGATAACTGTTACTAAAAATTAAGAACGCTACCATGAAAAACATAGCAAAGCATTTTTCTATAAAAACAAGTTATGGTCTGTCAGCTGATATTTTTGTCAAAGTGAATATTAGCTTCTCTAACTTGGCATTCATAGGCAGTCTAGCTGAGTCTGATACTTTACTGACTCCTTCAAAGGGTGTGAATGCTGCAGCTTACAGGCCTATTTTTATATACAACCCCCCCACCCCCTTACTGACATCAAACTGAACAAAGAATTACAGAGCCTTTTTTTGTCATGACAAATAAAAATGGTTTTATTTGCAATAGAATTTGATGTTACAAAAACGCAGTTCTTTGAATTTTCGGTATCAACTATTTTATAACACAGCTTACATCTCTGCACATAAACGCTAGTTTTTTTTTTTTAGATATCGCACAAAGCTTCTCACCATCTAA